CTCAGCCAAAATCCATGTCAGCATAATCTCATCATCCCACATACACCTGCTGTCGCCACAGCTCGCACACTGTTGCCACAGCCTTCCTGCCAGCCTCCCCTCTACCTGGGAGTGGCAAATCATGCCAGCGCCAATGTATCCGCACTGCGTAGAAGCTTCGTCAGCGCACCAAGTGGCAATGTCGCCAGCGCCGGTAACGGCGATCTCGAACCAGCTCCGATACCAAATTGCAGGAATATCAGCGAGAGCGATAGACAAAAACCCAAGTTGCAAAACCATGAAGAAGCTCAGATAGTCATGAACCAAGAAGGGAGTGCAATGCACCAAGATACCGTCCAAATAAGAGCAATACAATGAACTCAAATGTCAATGTCCCCACTCTCTGGTCACACCAACACTGTATCCAATGCCGCACTTACTGTTTGGTGCCCAGCCCCCAGCCTATCCTACTCAGGCTATCTAGCCTATCTACGTTCTTGCAACTGGATCACTCTGAAGTCGAAGACCAATTTACGTGGCGTCAACACCAATGCTAACAACCAGCATACACCAGGTAAGTTCTCTCTCCTCCCCTCATCACCCCTCGTCTTCCCACAGCATGCGCCTGCTACCCGAAGACCACCTTCGCCATCACCTGCCCTGCGCCCCAGCTGCCCAGCTATGGCTGCTGTGCCCCCGCTGCCTCAGCAGCGCCCCTCTCACTACTGCGCCCGTGGGCGCCTCCAAACAGCTGCGCCCATGCAGACACTAGCGTCGCAACGCAGCAGCGTGTCTGGATTGCCCGCCTAGGCCAGAATGCTGCTGCCAGGGGCTCTGCTGGCTGTCCTGGCCAGGTGTGGGGGGGCCCAGTAGCTTCAGTTGGGCCCCAAGTGTCTACGCCCAGGCCAAGTTTCCGAAACTGGTCTGGGCCTCGTACAGTTAGGCACGTTCAGGCAGCCACCCAGCCTCCAAGTGTTTGCAGCATTCTCATTGGCTCGCGGCACATATGTGACGACAATGCTGCTTCCTCATTTGCCAGTAACCAGTCCGATGTCTCGGCCTCACACAGCGTGTGCCCAGGGCACAACAACCTGAGCCCTGGGCTCAACTATACAGCGCAGCCCCTTTGTTTTTGGAAAGAGCCTAGGCTCATGTTGTGCTGTAACCAACTGGCGTGCTGCAGCTGTCTGAGTACCGACATAGGAAAAAATTGTCGAGAACAGGCCTCATGTGGATATTCAGGCCCGCCTTCACTTAGGGCGGGAACGAGGCTTGCTGGGGAGCACAGCCCAGAACACTTGTCTGTCTGATAAGGGCTCTGCGAGGCTCATTCCACGTGAGGCCTGTTCTTGACAATTTTTCAATGTGTGGGTTAGAGAGAAGTGTCGGGGTAAGAATGGATGGGGATCAAGGAAGACGAGAGAGAGAGAGAGAGAGAGAGAGAGAGAGAGAGAGAGAGAGAGAGAGAGAGAGAGAGAGAGAGAGAGAGAGAGAGAGAGGTGCGTGCATGGCAGTTGGAAGGAAAAAGAGAGTCATAAAAGAGGTATGAGAGAGACAGAGATGGAGCATCATGCCAATCCACTTTCCCCCTCCCCCC